ATTTATTTTTGAATATTGAATGCTTTTAATACTATTTAGAGTTTGGTTACATATTCTGAATTTACTTTCCGACTTTTCCAATAACGATTATAAAATTAACTATAGGACATATGCAAAACTCAATTGAGGAGAAATGTTTCGTTACCATTTTTAGGGTTACACGGTGGAACCAATGTGACCGGTGACATAAGTTCGTCGATGATTCATATGTAATCCTGAGAAAAAATGTTTTTGTTTTATATTTGGATATATTACTTTACTACTTAATAGCACTTAATACATAATACAATATTTTCGGAGTAGACATAACTTAATTATAATGAACTCAGGATGTTAATTTGTCTAAAAAACTTAGGCACAATCTGAATACTGGTGGCATCACTCAGGTTCGTCTTCATATCAGATTTAATGGTACAGTTGTTTCTTTTAGAGGAGAAACGAGGGCAATTTATTAGAATGTGTTTAATACTTAGAGTTATTTCGCAAAGTATGCATTTAGGCGGAGGTTGCTTTATTAGTAAATATTCGTGTATTAATCTTGAATGACCTGTTCCGATGCGGGTGACTGCAGCGTAATGTTTCCTGGTTAATACTGGCTTATTTTGACTTTCTTGTAAACTGGGTCTTACTTCATGGAGTTTAGTTGGAAGAAAGCTGATAACAACAGATTATCTTTAGTTTCTTCGAATATTCGTTATAATATTCAAGTGAAACTATTTATTTTTAAAATTATTTCGAATATTCAATACTTCTAACACTATTTCTACCGAAAGTATCAAAAGGCACTTTCTGAAATGTTCACTTAAAATTATTTTCCAAGTTTAGTCGCGTATTCTGAACTGACTTTTAGACCTTTTCAATACCGATTATCATATTAACTATAAAAATATGTTCAAAATTCAAATGAGGAGAAATGATTGAACTGGGAAAATAATTTTTAGTTGAAATTTCACAATGTGTCTTTTGACATCTGCAGAGATAGTGTTGAGGTATTAATAATTACAAAACAAAAACCCGAAATTAGTCATATTGACTGGTACGGTAGTTTTAGTGTTAGGTACACCCGACAATCGATTTACGCGGTACTTTTGGTAAGCGAGTCTTTTTTTTACACGGTAAATTAGAACTATTCACGCGGTAGTTTTTACGCGTGATCTTAATTTACGCGATCCGAATTCAGTGACACCGAATAAAATGTACTTTTGTTTTCTTACGTGTCATTATTATTATTATTTCTTTCCTAATCTATGTGAAATAAATATGTATTCCTGAAACTTATACCAGCTCTTTTTTTCAATACTTTGTTTCTTGAATTCAGCTGACTTTATTTACACGATTTTCATTCGTGTAAAACAAATCCACGTGGAATGTAATTTCGCGTAAATCGAGGGTCAGGTGTAACTCTGTCTTTTAGGATTCTTTTGAATCTTCGGATAAACATTTGACAAAATATTTTATTCGCGCTAAAACTTTAGCTTTAGATTTTTTAAAATTCCTTTATAGAAACTCTATATTGAGGCTTTAATTGATTTATTATTCAGTTTTCGGATTGCTAAATTTCTTTAATAATTCTTTAGAGAAACATATTTTATAAGGATTGCATATTAATCATATTAAACGCTCGGTAGTTCTAATGTTAACACGTTGATTGCGAATTCTGAATCTTATGTGTCTCTTGATCCATCATATCCTCTCTTGATAATAACTTTATAAGAAAAAAATTAATTGAATAGAAACTTAATTTCCGTGTTTAAGTAGCAATTGACTCATAATAAAAAAGAAACTTCTGTTTCCCTTTTTATTTTGAGAAAAATCCGAAAAGAGACAAAATCATTTCTTAAACTACATTACTAAGCAATCGATCAAATTATTTAAATATGAGTACTTTATTTTATTAACCCATTAAGAATAGGTTATTTTTAACCAGTTAGAATTTATAATTGATATATTCAATACGGTAGAAAACCTACTCCCAAGGTCCCCAAGCTTTTGAAGATCAATTGCTCGAACAGGAAGAGTTAATTGAAGCAGGGAGAATGGAAGATTAACACTTATTTCTTACGGAGATTTTTTCCTTAAGTGATTAATTCAATTTTGATTATAGAATATGAAGACATATTTTTCCAAACGGAGGGAGCATCGGACGTTGTATTTGTCATAACTTTTTTTTAAGCATTTAGGAATATCAACAGTTTGGCAAGGCAAATACAACTTTTGAAGTACCGAAACATATGAAAGAGCCTTCGAAGAATCGTCAGTACTATTTTGCAAGTATATTCTTTCAAACAGTTTCGCTGCAAACTATTATATTTAATACCCTTCAGAGTTCGGAGTGTAATATTATTTCAAGTAATAATTGTATTATTTGCATTAGTATTTTATATTAATTACATTGTTATAAGGCATTAGATTTTAATTCAGAATTATAAAGTATATTATATAGTTCTTAAGTTTCCAAAAAATCATATTTCTTAATTATTTCCCGTAAACTTTCCCGTGATAATATAAAAATAAGGAGGTGCAATAAAATATTTAATTTTCAACCTAAAAATTAATTTTTTTCATATTTACGGAAAGTAAGTCATAGACTTTAAAAAATCCGCAATAAGGACCAAATTTTTGTATCTCAAGTTTGTTTTTCAAAAATTCTTTTAACGTTAAATATAACTTCAGTGATTAGTTGTTCTACTAAACGTCCACCAGAAGAAGAGGACGCTGTAATCAGTCTTGAATTTCTGTGTCGATAAAACAGTCTAACCTATGGCCACCGACGAGAAAGAAGATATCAAACTGTACATCTTATGGTACTCTGTGTCTAGTAGTCTGAAATACTGATTGTGTAAAAAGTATTTTAAGTCTATGTTTAATATCTTTTATTGTTATTCCTACCACTTATAGCGCTGCCATGCAAATCCAACCCTAGTCGATATAACAGGTTGTAACACTAAAGATGGTAAGAGGGTTCATGGGCATACAAAAGCGTGTAACAGAATTTTACATTGGATGTTACATTTATCCTACACCTCGTCTATGGAAATACTCAACTGTTGGCAAAGATGGATTGATTATTTACATCTATCGATACGTTTAAAAGCTTCTTTAGTACAATCTTTTTTTACTAGAAACCATACACAGTGTATTCTAAAATCGTCCTGACACACCAACTGTGTATGACATTATTATCAACAGACCATTTATTGCATTAGCTTCTTAAACTTAACATTAGGAGGTCATAGGCAATCGCGAAGGTAATATTAAAATATATTTTCAAAATTAATGTATATACTGTTATTTATTTACCTAAGTGATTAACTTCTCAAAATAAAATATAAAAAAATTTGAAAATACATATTTTAAGGATCAATAGGACACTACAACACTAAAATTTGGAAACTTTCAAAAAGTGAATGTAATCATTTATTTTATACATAATTCATATAACGTTAGACACCTACGTAGAGCCGAATAATTAATGTCGTAGGACTTTTTTTGTTTCGAATTTATTAAGAATATTTTAATATTAATTTTAGTTCTACTTGGAACGTGCATATGAAATATTTATATATTTATATGTATAACATGCATAGGAAATTTCTTCATTATTTTATTGTACAAAATTTATTCTTCAAAAGTGTAATAAACATAAGTTGTATATAAAATGTATATATTAATTACATATCAATATATATAAATGTAAATATTATATATATTTAAATATTATAAACATTATATATATATTACAATAAATTAAATTCTAAAAATAAAGAATAAATTTTGTACAGTAAAATAATGAAGAAAATTCCTATGCATGTTATTCATGGTGTCCTAGCCGTTGTGCTATACCTGCAAAGAGGATGACTTTTATGAGAAAAAGTGAACAATAAATATTGAAATCTATTCATACAAATTTCTTTTCCAGGAAAATGGAGTGTAAAACTTCCTTTCACAAGGGTGTAAAGATTTTCCGTAGAGACACAAAAAAGTACTTTGTAACCTATTTTATAGGATAATACTATATAGAATAATGCAATGCATATATACTATAAAATCATTTACAGAAATTTAACACACTATGCAAAAACTCGTTTTCCTCTTCTACTGATTTCTTGAAAAGTCAGTGACCGTGTAAACTGAATGCTTTAACATTAAAGCTACCGAACAATTACATTGACTTTTTAAAATCCCTGTATGGAAAGTCCAACGGTGCATCTATTGAGACTTTAATTGATTACAATGCAGTTTGCGTATTGGCAAATCAATTTCTTTTATAATTGCTCACAGAAAGAGCTGTTATCTTTGTAATAATTACGAAAACAAGAAATCAGGAAGGGGTCATTTTGACCAGTTTGGTAGTTTTAGTGTTAAATACAGATTCTAGAATTATCTCAAAATAATAGGATTTTCTATTTTCATTGCCGACGTAAAGTTAAACAATCACAGAATTATTCAAGTACTTGCTTGTTTGTAAATATTTCTAATGTTAACATTAATTCATTTTTCAAAATATAATCATAGGTTCAAACAGCATCAACTAGCTTCGTGATACCAATTATAACAAATCGAACTATTATTGATGTACCATTTACATTATTTCTTATTAATATTTTATTTTCAGATCAATATATTCAAATTATTATCAATTTATTTCAATTTTAAGTTATAAAACTATTAACTAACGACATCTTCGACACAGCTTCGAAAATAAAATTTCTATGATCACGAAAATTGACAACGACGAATATTCCGAAAAAATATCTTCGTGTCACCATAGATACACAAAATCATAGGCGAAAGGATTCGCGTAAGTATATTTACTCAATTCTTAAAGGCAACACCCGAAACACTGTTCTAAATGGCCACTTCTAAATCGGAGGATCCCCCGGAGCTATTTTAAAACAATCTCATTAACGCTCCTGTAGTCTTAATAGAAAATGGATGGTGAACGACTTTTGGTAGAAAAGCAAATATCTCTTGGACGAAGCGCTTTCCGCTGTCTCCTCTTGACTCGACGTTAAACGTTTGCGGCGGGCCACGCAAATAAACACAGTCGAATTTATAGAACTGGAAACCGCGTACGCGCTTCGGCTTTATTCTTCTTCGAGAAACCTGCGGTCTTCGAGCAATCGCCGCGACTCATCAGCAGTGGTTTTACTAGTGAATCGTCTATGAATGAACGTGAATACACGCTATTTCCCACCAGACGGTTGTCTGACTTTAACGCAAACTGCGGGGTGCAAAATACTGTAAATGTGTTTGGTACTTGCTCAACCTATCGACGATTTCAGTGCAGTGCACGCGATTAGGAACGGCATTTCTCGATTTCGAACTGTCGTTTTTGAAAAATGTAAGTTCATTTAGATACTCAGCTTGAGTTTATTACAGGAACAGATTTCTTTCTTGATTTTGATCTTAATGAAGTTTGATTTTACGATACATATTTCATTGGATGTCGTATTGAATTTCTGTGTGCATGGTGTTTCATAGTTGGAGGAGGAAGCTTTGTGAATAAGTCTCGTGAGTATGAAATAAAAGAAATATTATGTTAGCATAGATTTAAAGATGTGTTTATAATGTAATAATTTAATAATTGTAATATAGTGATTAATATATTGGCTACTAAATCAGTATACGTAAGCTTCTTACAAAATTAAAATAATTTGTGTAATATAGCAGGAACTGAGAAATTAATTATGAAAATTAAATTTTGAGTTTATTAAAACAATGAGATCATTCGTGGTTGAATAACACAGCAGTCGCCGTATTAAATGTGACATTTACCTGATTTGATTATTTTAAATATCGTTTGTTATTAATATGAATTATAATTAAATATGATTTTTATATTACACGTCCCATTTTCTGTTACTCTATCTATTTTCATCATTCTTTCTGGATTTTTTTTATTTTAAGACGTACTATTCTGAATGTTCTATATTCTGTGGTGTTGACCTTTCGACAGATTTTTTATTTCTGGAGACAGAAACAGAGCACAAGGTGTCAAAAGTGAATTACAGTGAACATGTGGCAGTGAAATTTCATTCTTTCTCAAAAGCTTTAAAATTGGTTTTAAAATTCTGTGAATACCTCTTATCAGATACTTGTACTATTTTATAATAATTTATTATCAAAATCTGCTTTATATAATACTTAATTTCTAATAAAATCTTTAAATGTCAGAAATGACACAATATATTTCATATAAAGTGCACATATTACATTAATTTCTTAAATGTATACCAAGTACGAATGTGTATATACTTTTTTACATCATTCAGTACAATTTTTGACCAAACATTTATAATTAAACTCATTGTTGTGAAAAATTCCTATATATAATTTCTTTGAAGAAATGTAAAATCAAATATCATTTATTATAAAAATATATTATTCCGAAAAATGTAAAAAAAACCTTTTTGTAACAAAAAATGTAGTTAGATAAATATTTTTGTTTTACAAAAATATTGAAAAAATAATATATTAAAATAATATAATAATGATTTATAAATTATGCGATGATTTTAATAGTATTTTCGCTGTACTTTCATTGTATTAATTTAGGCGTTCCTGAGCGCATTAAATAAGACCAGATATTTAAATTCAACGTATTCTATTTTGTGGCTGAATTAAGATTAATTGATCGAAGAAAGAACGAACTTTAAACATTCAGTTAATCTATTTCATGCCTGACAATAATATATACTAACCTTGAGTTTCGTTTAAACACATTTTAACACACGCCCCTATTGTTATCGTCTATAAACTCATTAAAGGCGTAATTTCCTGAAAACTGCTACAATCTTCTATTAATAGATGACAGAACCGTATCACGAGATATAAAAATGTCGAAGCCTGCAGCATTGTAACAATCTCCTTGCTAGTAAAAAAGTGAAACTGTACAGAATCGCACATGGCAAGCTTGGGGCTATAAAAAATTGGGGCTGTGTATCAATGGAGGGAAATATTTACTAAAAAAATAATTGTATACAAAATAACAGCCTTTTTTTACCACACTTCTATATTTTTTGCATAACATTCGAGAAAAATAAAAGAGAACATAGTTTTGCAAGCAATAAATCTTTTATAAACAAAATAATACTGCATACTAATTTCTTATGTTCGTAATATTTTTTGGGAAACAAAGGAACTTTTCAACGTTTCAAAAATTTCTCGTTTCGCGCGTAATGAAATGGAAAAATGAAGCGTGCACTCGTCTAATGCAGGATGAATGTATGTAGGATATATTTTCATGAAAAACCAAAGAAGAACAAAGGAGAATTACACGCGTATTCGAAAAAGGAAAGAATTCATCGTTGAAAGAATTAGTACCATTTCAAGCGTTAAGATGACGTGTACACTCGTCAAGCGTAATTAACTGGTTAAGGTCCAGTGAACCGTAACGCGTACTTAGTTGTTTAACCCCTTGCTCTATGACTTTTTCCCCAATTACGCTCAACAGAGATATTTCATTTTTCACAATTCACTAGAGAAGGAGAACAGTGTACATTTATATATATATATATATACGTTTACTCAGAAACATTAGAATTAATAATAGAAAAATACTATTCAACTCGGAGTTGGAAGAATTAAGTGATATTTAGACTTGTTAAATTCTATTTAAAATCTTCCCCGCGAGTCTGACACGATATTGCAGGGCAAAGGGTTAAAGTTAAAAGTTCAATGCTTCACCGGTTCACGGTGCACTCAAGCAGTGGACGTTTCTAGCAGCGCGTTTGTTGGGATTAGTGCATGCAAATGTGACGTACTGCGAATAAACGTATTACGAAGACTCGCGTTTCACAATCTTACACGTGTATTCACGAACGAGAACAGGCAAAAACAATGGTCTATATCGAGATCCGTTTACCAGGGATTCACGATCGGATGCGCGCGAATTCAACGAACCGTTAAATCTAACTCTTTCTTTTTTCGAGAATCGAGACTCCGAGCAGAAGAAATTTATTTCACATTTCCAATTTATTTTCGCATGATGACTCAGATCCATTTTGTTGCACTGTGGGGCATCGTTTGCGTCATTGGCTTTACGATATACATGTAGGTATAACGATATAATTCCTCCCAGAAATGGATTGCGCTCGAGAACCAGGAACACGAAATTCCATTGCCGGGAACACCTACGAATAATGTGCCACGTGTTTTAGAGAAAAAGGGAATACATTTGGTCATCCCATAAATAACGCGGTTTCTTACATTTCTTTTAGTTTCACAAGTAACGACGAACGAAACTGTTTTTCATCTAAAATATAGCCTCATTGTCTGTAAACCGTTTAGCTATACATTGTAACTACTTGAACAAAGGTTTTGCTTATCTTTATAAAAAGAGAATTTGGTCATTCCATAAATAATGTGGTTCTTTATTTTTCTTTTATTTTTAGAAGTAAAGATGAACAAAACTGATTTTAACGCTGAAACTACTGAGCAATTGGAGTAACTTATTTCTAAGTTTTTATACAAATTAGAGCATATTTCCCAAAATCTGATCAAAAAACCTTGTCATCATTTTAATATTTGCAAACTGAAAATTTTAAAATAGGTCAATTTGACCCGTCTGATAATTTTAGTGTCAATTTAAAACATATTCTCCTTCATTATCTATAAATTGTCTATCTATACATTATAACTACTTGATAAAATTTTTTATTTATCTTTATCTTTGAAAATAAGAGAAATATAAAAAACTGCATTGTTCATGGGATGATTAATATTTTTAAGGGAATCGTCGGCTTTTCAGTTTATAAGAATTTATGGTAGGGGCGTGAATATTTCTAGGAATGGATTCACACTCAGGCATAGAAACAGAAAATTCCATTGTCATTTTAAAATAAAAGAACTGTTTGAATTTTAAACGAACTTTTCGTTTTGTCGGAAATATTCGTATTTTGTTTTTAGCTGTTGGATTCTATGAGCAATGGCTTTGGAATGAAAATATACGTGAAAAAGGAATAGTTAGGAAAGTTTTGTATGGGTATTGAAATTGTTAGTGTATTTATGGATATTGAAATTGTTAGTGTACGTATGAATATTGAAATTAATAGTCTATAACAATTTATTAATGTATGATATAGTAGAGTACGATATTTACAAAAATTCGGTGACCTCGTGACATATTGACTTTACACTGACTTTAAATGGTAAATTATTTTGAAATTTCAGTTCTGCAACTTAAAATGAATAATGTTGTAGAATGTAGCAACAGTAATAATTACAAAAAGTTCATTAAAGTAATTAGATCGTACGCTAGTATACAATATAAAGCTTATTTTTAATTACCCTTTCAAATATCTGTAATAACTAATATTTGAAATTCGATAACGAAAATATAAAAAAATAGTAGAAATGCGAATACTGTCATTAAACGGTAATAAAAAATTATTTTAATTTATTAAAATTGTATAAACAGTATTAAGAGTATTCTGAGTGCTTTTTGGTGTCTTTTAAAATTTGATTAGAATAAAAGCTAATAATTTTTGCTGTGTGAAATCAATTGATGACTGAAAGGTCTCTGTCGTGCAAAGGGTCAAGATCTTAAACTCTTGAGTTAAGTAAACAACTGAAACCTGAGTTATAAAAAATGAATATGAGAAAACGACCAACCAAAAATCAGATTGCAGATTCAATCTCAGTTTCATTTGCTTCTGCTTGCAATTTCTTGATAACGTCTGCCTCGTTTCGCTTTTTTACGAATTTATGATATAGGATACATTGCATTATTTCTTTTTATCCCAGTATTTTTTTTATAATTAACACAAAAGCAATATAAAAAATTCAATAGAATTTCTTTTCTATAATCAGGTTCACTTATTTATTTACTGATTATAAGTTCTTAATTTTCAACAAATTTAACTCGAATAAACAATTGGAACTTAATCACCATATTATCATTTGATCACAGATAACATCAATGATGGCCTTAATCGTTTGTTCAGGGACTATATATACATATTTCAATGAATCCTCGCAAACCGCTGAACGAGAATACCTTGAACGTCCTAATACCCAATTCGTTTTCCTTTCGCATGGATTATAAAAGGCTGGCTATCGTGGGATCAATAGGTACAGCTACCATAATTATATGATATTGCATCGGAAACCTCTCTCCTCAACACTGTAAATTTAATGACGCAAAGTACATATTGATTACTTTCCCAACGTCGCGAGCTTATGAAGCCAGATGAAAATATTGACTTACCATTCACAAACAAGCTTAAAGTAAGAGAATATGTACTCTGCTCCTTCCGCGGTGTACATATTCGAAACGGTTTTAAACTAATTAACTCAAATGAAAGTATCGTCTGAATTAGGAGACTGGAAGGAGGTTTCCGCGTGATCTTGCTTTACCTAACTATTCCCACTAATAACTGTTTCAAATTTAGAAATTTATAATAAATGATAGTTTCGAAGTTATAGGTAAAAAATGAACTGTACCCTTATTTGAAGATACTGCAATGAAGAAATATGGCGATTAAGTTCCAAATGTACATTTTAGTTAAACTTGTTGAAAATTAATAATATTACACTTTAGAAAAGAAAATTTATTGACTGTTGTATATTGGCTTTAATTATAAAAAAATATTGCCGTGTATTCTATATAATAAATGCGTAAAAAGGGGAATGAGGCAGATGTTATTAAGAAATTGCAAGCAGAAGCAAATGAAACAGAAATTGAATATAATGTTTTTTTTATGAAAGAGTAAAATTTATAAAAGTTTCTTCGGAAATTTTTGTTTCACAGTACTTTTACTTTCGAAGACATAATAAAAAGAAATTGAATATTGTGTTCACAGAAAATTCTCAAATTTAAAAACATTCTTGGAAAGTGTTCTGTTTCACAGTGCTGGTCGTTTCGAAGCTGAATAGCAGTATACGAAAACAAATATAACAAAAAGAAATTGAATATATTATTTCCCCGTAAAAATTCGTTCACAGAAAAGTAGTAAGTTTGAAAACATTCCTCGGAAATTTTCTATTTCGCGGTATGATCGCTTCGAAGTTCTATATGACTATATAAAAACGAACATAACAAAAATAAATTAAATATAATATTTCTCCATAGTAGCTTCGTTCACAAGAAAAGTATTAAACTTGAAAACGTTCTTAGAATCATTTCTATTTCACAGTATCGTTTCGGAACTCTATATGACTATGTAAAAACAAATATAACAAAAAGAAATTAAATATAATATTCCTCTATAAAGCTTCGTTCACAGGAAAGCATTAAGTTCGCTAATCGCTTCGAAACTCAATATCAATATACAAAAAAGAATATACCCCAAAAAAAATGGAATATTATATTTCTCTGTAAAACATTGTGTTATTTTAAAATACTTCTATTTCGCAGCAGTGATCATTTCGAATCTCGACATAAGGGCCACCCACGAACTTGCTTCGTTTCCTTCTATCATGCGAACCAGAAGACTCCAGGAGGATGAGGAAACTGGATGACAGCAGATGGAACGATAGAGTGATACTGAATGTCGGCGGTGTACGTCACGAAACGTACAAGTCGACACTAAAGAAAATACCCGCGACCAGACTTTCTCGTTTAACAGAGGCTTTGGCTAATTACGATCCCATCTTAAACGAGTACTTTTACGACCGCCATCCAGGCGTTTTTGCACAAGTATTGAACTACTACCGCACCGGGAAGCTGCATTATCCGACAGACGTTTGCGGGCCACTCTTCGAGGAAGAACTCGAGTTCTGGGGTCTGGATTCTAATCAGGTCTGCAGCTTTCTTTATTATTTCCGCAAATGACGTCTCTATATTAGGTTGACAACTAAATCCCTGACATTTTGATTTTCGTGGGCCTGTTTTTATCTATAGAGTAATGAATTGTCTGATAATAGAAATTCTAAATTTAAATGACAAGCATGTCCTATGAATAATCTCAGGTTATAAAGGTTTTTTGTTTTCACCATCTTCTGCTGTTCGCTTTCAATTTGTAGCACTGATGTATGTTTTTCAACTTAACAAATTATCATGTTTATGAAACGTGAAAGCTAAGAGCTCAGTTGCCAACCTAATATGTACTTCGAAAGTGTTATATATTAATCAAATCGCTTAATTCTTATGCATCTTTACCCTAATCTTTATATTTTTTTTAATTTTTATGATTACTTCCTTATTTGTTGTGCTGGAATAGTTCCATATATTTTCTCCATTACATTGTATATATTTTTTGAATATAACAACTAGCAGTTCATTGATATATATATATAGAATATTACAGTGTAAATGTAGTGTTCCCCCCATAACGTCGCGTTTTAATCAGTACGAAAAGAAGCAAGTCCTTGCATGGGACTGTCCACACAAGTATGAAGCGTTGATGCTGGCCAATGAGGTCAAAGACGAAGTAGCTTTTACTACTCCCGAGTGTCTCGTTGAGCTCTCCGAGTCGCGAGATGTTATGAGGGAAAACCGTACTTGCCCACGCCAGTTAATGAACAAGTGTGAAAACAAATTTGGAGTCTTTGTATATAAAACTATCACCATTCAGTTTTATGACGTAAATTTAAATTATTGTACTGTTATTAAAAGTTATTCAATGTTATTCAAAGTAGTCATTTTATTTTGTGGAGAATTTTCGTAATGATAAATATCAGACTGACCTTTTTCTGTAATGTACAGAAATGATATGTACACTAATTTGTCTGTTAATCATTCTGTATAGAGCGGTAGATTTCGAAGCAGTCTAATGGCGTAATGCAACAAGATTATCAATGGGTGAAAGACATCATTAAGAATTTTGGAATAGAAACATATCAACGTGCATGGCACGTATTTCCAGCACAAGTGGTTAAAATTGTCAAAGAGAATTGCTGAATTGAGTGTTCTCTTTCTGCAAAAAGATGTGACATTTTTAAAAGTGACAATTTTATCTTCTCCCTTCCTTGCAGAGGTTCCTGTTTTCTTTTATGATATATCCTGATGCAAATTTTACAAATTGTATAACACGATACCTTTATAACCATAAACATGGCCGCGGCTTTCTTTCCCGTTGCCATTTCAAATGGCACCGAATTATTTCGTAATAGTGAAAACGAGTCAACGTAACTAACCACCATTGGTTTATCTATCTATTCCATGGTTTGAATCGGGAACACAAATGTACTTTGACACCGCAGAAAACGTCTCTTCCGGAATACGCACACCGTGCAACTGTTATTGACCAAACAGGTCAGAAACGTTTGCCTGATGACAACTGGAATCTCAAAGACATATTGTTAGCCTTGTTTGTTAATTTGAGACCTTACTCTGAAGCATTAGCTTCTGTATTACTAAAGCTAATAAAGGGATAATGCAATGTTTCAAATGACTTCGTAATTATTAAAAGGTGTAAATATTGTAACTGTAAACAAAGAGTTTGAAATAATCTATAAAAGCGTTATAGCCATAGAATATTGGTTTTCTTGAAATCGAGTTTGTAAATATTTATTTGTAATTTTTTACATTAATTACTTATATACGAATAACAGGTAGAATGTTCAATAGAATTATTTTATTTCTTAACTTTTGTCAATGAATGTACAATAATATGAACCTTTCATAAGAGAACTATGTATACAATAATTTAAAAAAGAAGGAATGATAGATTATTGTTATATGGCCTCTTCACCATTTAGTACGATATAGGTCATTGAAGCCTGTCTCTTTTGTCTGCCATTGTGTATCGAAGCTAATCGTTCCTAAATACTTAATTTCCGTCTCTGAAGTGCGCTGTTGACAGAATTAAATTTTATTTTTGCGTCGTCGACACAGTTTCATGTAAATTCTAGGGACACTTAAATATATTATTTATACATATGATTTTTTATAAAAGAATATCAGTATCCTTTTAAATATATATTAGTATCCTTCATATAGATATTAATACTTTTTCATACTGATTTCGAAAACAGTAATGGTCTTATGCGTGCTTTAAAAGATGATATTCTTGTACGAAGTATTATTTTCACAAACATTTTGTGTACTGATATAAATAGCAAATAAAAATATAAAATCATCTGTCACATCTTAAAAGCATACAGCACTGGATGAAATACATCCAAAATATTTTCCTCCAGTATGAAATCGTGTGTTCCTCTAGCATATAAAATGAAAATATTATTACACAATAACTTTTAAATAATATTATTAAATATTTATTGAGTAAATAACTATTAGACTCGCATTATAATTTAAATGTATTTTTCTTACTGTAGCAATGAAATTATCGACAAGTCAAAATTGCTGATATCAATTTAACTTCCTAAAAAAATTCAGTATAAATTATAATCATTGAAAACATTTTCACGATGTCAACGTCATCACATGCAATTTATAAATGATAATGTTATCCGATAGTTATTCTAATGTTAATTAGTATCGCATAACCATACAAAATTCGATATTGTCGATTATAATGTAAATTTTGCTGTCATTTAATTTATCGTAACTGCTTTAAGTCTACCACAATTTAGTCCATTAAATTCTCATCCCGTATTGATTAATGCTAATCAATATTACTTAATCTTCCTGCCGTTAATTCTTCTCCTTTTTTCGACAAGTCTGAAGAGATTTCACGTGTCGTAATTATAACAATTATTACAAAACCGTGATCAAATTATACTTCAATACTTAATACACTGAATAACTTCAATACACTGAAAACCTTATAAAAATATAATCAAACCATTCCAGGCTCACTGTACAAAAACATCCGTACCGCTGATAATAGAAAAATAAAACAAGCAAGGCAATTCTGAAGGAAATAGCTTCTTCAGTTATCTTGTATACATAATGAATACAGTTATTATTACAATCTATGTTCTTTCATTTGTAATTTTAACACTGAGGCTGCCACTTTTTTCGTATCAAAGCTAAAAGGGAAGAGTTGCTTATAATTTCATATCACAATTCTTACGCCACGCTGTTATCTATACTATAATTTATGAAAGAAGAACCCTTGGAGATACTGCATAACATAATCAACGAAGTTTTTATCGTTTTTCGAATAATTAATTTTTACATCTAGAAAAACCAGAGCTGTTGCCCCATAGAAATTTTTAAAAGAATTTTTCATGAAATTTTTAATCAATAATCTGTAAATTGTATACTTCGAGCTCGAAAAGTTAGCGAATTTCCGTTTATTTTAATTATACACCGGAATAGTGAACACACTAAAAAATACACGTTAATATAAATTAAATAATTCCCACTATCATTCACGAAAAACGTAAACATTGTCTAAATACTTGCCTACAAATGATTACATATTTCACATTTAAATTACAAAATTATCGCAGCCAATTAGCTTACCATGACCCTTTTGCACAAAATATTTTAATAAGGATAATAATAGTTGCCCAGGTCTCACCGCGTGAAGCTTGCTGCGAGGGACCCACTTAAACTTTCGAATTTAACTCCTTGCCCTCAAATTTGTTTCTCAGTCACGATCGATACAATTATTTTGTGATTCAGAATTTTGTGAAAAAATGAAGAAGAATTCAAATGTTATGCTTGTTAAAATATAATCATTGACGGTAGAAGGATCACAATTAATTTCAATTCAAAAGAATTCAGTAATATTTATGCTTGTTAAATTCTATTTAAAATATTCACCGCGAATTTACCACGTTATTATAAAGCAGGGGATTAACCCTTTGCGGGCGAAGATTGTTGAAAGTATACAAAACCTTTTGCAAATTCTGCTAAATTAAACACTGAATGCTGAAATCATAGAGAATAAGGAAACTGTGTACTGTAAATCATTTGTTCACAACTGGGTATTCCAAACATGGTATTCACCTTCGTTGAAATTTTGATGTAACAGAAACTGAATTTAATATTCACCGAAATTGATAGTCCGTATAACAATTTATTTAACACTCATTGAATTTCAATTTAATATCAACTGAATTTAATATCCACCGAAATTAATATTCTATCGTAACGTATTTAACTTTCATTTAAGTTTTATTTTAACATGAACTTATTTTATATTCACCAAAATTTATATTGTATCGTCTTTTATTTAACTCGCACAAATAACGGAAGATAAAAATATGCAAATATGAAAATTTTCGTATTTGATCGGGTGAAGGAAAATGCGTGCATATTTCGCGATAGTTTATTCAGCTTTTATTTATTTTATTCATTTTCATTCTAATTCGATAAACATTGGATCAGTATATCTTTTTGAATCAATATCTTTAGAAGTACAGTATAACAGAATGAAAAGAGGTCAATTTTATAATATGTATTTATATTACGTATGCACAATAATTTACAATCTTTACTTTGTCTTCTTTTCATTCGTGTTTTTATTTGTATATCCTGTACGTAGGATACATGTAATTCACATTTAAGTATAAGTTGCATAGGAATGTTTAATATATGGCATGCATTTTTTCTTAACACTACAACTAGAATTACCGAGCACTTAAACCGTTTTTTAAAATTTCTTAATGAAAGCTATAAGCGTGAATTCATTAAGATTCCAATTAGCTTGTACTCCAGTTTATGTATTACCGAGTCAGCTTCTTTAATCATTCCTTAAAGAAACGTCTGTACCTTTACAGTCATTGTAAAAGAAGAAATTAAGAATTGGTCATTTTGACCCGCCTGGTAGTTCTAGTGTTAAACAAAACCTGCTTTTATCTCGGAAACTATTGAGTTTCGGACCTATGTTTACTGGAGTGTTTTTACTCAGTTTAGTGAGTTGCGTACGTCCTATAATTTAGAAACACCCTGTCTAACAGTTTCAACTAGTTATTTTCGGAACGTTTTCAATCCCTGAATGCAAATGTCCCAGGTGGAACCATGCTGTTGGAGTACGTACAGCATCCACAGGGATACCCAAGCCACGCTCGCGATACTCGATAAGCTTGACGTGGAAGGCGAGAAGCTAAGCGACGAGGAAATCGCGCGGCTTTTCGGCTACGAGGAAGAGTACAACAGGGGAACCTTGTCGAGATGGCAAAAACTACGGCCAAGGATCTGGGCTCTTTTCGATGAGCCGTACTCATCCCTCGCGGCGAAGTGTATAGCCTGTGTTTCAATACTCTTCATCTGCCTCTCGGTTCTCTGTTTCTGCTTGAAGAGTCACACGACAACGAAACGGTCGAGAAACAATCAACGGTACGCAGAACTGTTGCGATCGGAATCGGCTTGGAACAAGGACGACGCTGATTCTTATCCCGTGCTGTTTTACCTGGAGCACACGTGTAACGCTTGGTTCACTTTGGAAATTATCATTCGCTGCTTGGTACGTATCAAAAATGTTTAGATATAATTAGATAGTAAAGATGATTGTGTTTGGAAAAAGGCGATTGGTTTATGATTTTCTTCGTGATTATTCTTATGAGATTTATTTTATTGTGATAGGCATCGGTAAAAAATATTAATCTATGTAATAGAATAAGGTTTTATTATTTATGGTCTCGACAGGGAAGTTTAATTTACAAAAATTACAAAATATAATTTCGTTCTTCTTTTAGGATAGTTTCCTATATAGTGATCCATTTTTCGAATCTACTTTTTGGATTAATGTTTAGTCATTTATATAAAATAGTCAACAATATTAATTGCTTCTTAAATATTCTGAAATAAATTCTGAAAATGATAGATCTATTAAACCATATTCAAATTCGACAAAATTGTAGTATGCCCTGAAATGGAAAACCAATTTCCAACATTTTGATTCCATTTAAAAAGTAGATTTCGGTCGATGCTTTCAAAACAGTTGTTAAAACATTCGAATTGAATGGAAGTTCACCAATGTAGACGAGTTTTTAATTTTGCAAACAGAATGAAATCGAGGCCAAGTACTTACAAGAGATATAGCGAATGAGGAACCAATTCAACGTCTAACTCATGCAATTTTGCCATTGCGACAGTCAACTTGTAGAACGACGCTCGATTCAGTTGATTCGAAAGTGGTTCATTTAGATGGCTTTTCAATGTTAACTATGTCATTTAGCTGAAATTTTAATAGAGGTCACGTGATAAACGATACTTTCCGTCAATAATGTTGCTCTATGAATCTTTATGTTATTTCAGGAGAGGACAATTTGCATTTTTATGTACATATGTTTTCGGTTATGTACGGATAACAATGAATAGCATTCTGCAGTGTTTGTTAGTGGCCTCTAATGTACAATAACACTCTATAGGACACCCTAACATATAGATGAACCCCGTTATTAATGTTTTCAGTCATTGCAATGAATTACAAAAATAAATTGTTTACTAAAAAAAATCCATGTATTATTTTTATTTTATGATTATTAATTTATTAAAAATATATATGCTTTTTACAAAAATAATTAATAATTCTTATAAGAATAATTCAGTGTAATTGCTTTTATATGTTAATTTTCCTCGTACTGCTCCAAAGCCATAAACCATATGACCGTCATTATTAATGCAGCGTTTGCTTTCCCTCAAAACAATACTTTCTTACTATATCGTTCCGTTCACATTAAATTGCGTATGTCGTTCAATGACTTTTACTTCCTCTATAAGATAGTGTTATCAGATTTATATAATTTTCGGTGAAAATATAATATCGTTGCAGTACAAGTTTTGCTCTTCGAAGTGTGCGAACTAATTTCGGATTTCCTTATTAAAGAGTTTAACCTACATTTTTATCTAAAATGAAAAACCCGACAATGTGATTTTACAGAAGAAAGCAAGAGCTATCGAATAATATAATATTTAAATATATATAATATTAACCAATATTAATGAATATAAGTAAAAAAATAGAATTTTTAATTAATATTAAAAACATAATATTTATCAACAAGCAACGTTACGGATATATGGTACAATCTAATGGATTCTGGCATTTAATATACCTCCCATATTTTAATTAATTGTAGCGTACCAAATTTCGACATTTTAATTTGTTTGTTACAGTAATCGACTCACGTTGACTTAGTCATTAACCCCCAAACCCCAAATAGCATTTTGTTTCCTATAATTTGCTGCGTGGAACGTTCAATTAATTTTATTAGATGTTTTCATTTAAGCGAAAGCGAAACTATGAAATTAACTTTTATTTGACACATTGGAGACACAAAGAAAAATAAACTAATAAAACTTGAATCGATTACTGATAATCTATTGATGCAAAAATAGGAATGTGGACTGTATAGTGGAAAAATATTTCAAACACTAATACCTGTGATAATAATCATTTTACAGCAGCATTTTTGTTAATTAATTCGGTGTAAGAAGCATATTTTCTACATTCACCAATTAAAAATAATCATCAATATTTCCTATTTCATTTTTCAAATTCTTTTTGCTGCACAGTTTGTTATTTACAATTCGTTATTTTATGAACAGCCATTGGTTTTTCAATTACGAAAAAACGAAAAGGTTACAGTTGTTGTTTCAAATTATTATTAATACGTTCGCTACCATCATTCTTTTCGATAACAATCCTCGCAGTAACAATATTTTATTAAATGCAACGTATTTTCATTGTGGAATATTAAAAAAGTTATCAACATTTCCAATATTATTCCATGCGTTGCAGTTTTTGATTAGAGCTATCAAAAAATTAATTTGTGTTACCTTTGTTCATCATGTAAAATTATAGTCGTTATAAAAATGCAATATTGACGGCGATTATATTAATTGACTCTTTTTGTAAATGCATGATAAGAATTTGTTATTTATAAATTGTTACATTGCCCTGTTCAAGATATTACAAGTAATATTGTACTAGATATAAATATTCTTGTCTTCACTATTGCTTATACAAATAGATAATTATTATCTATTACAATATACAGGGTGTTGCAAAAAATGTTACCACATAAAAGTACGTTGATGTAGTTCGTTATAAACATTGAAAGCAAATTGTACAATATATAATAAATAGTTCATAAACAATCAAAGTGTGCTAACATTTTTTTGCGATACTCTGTATATTAGATATACATAGATGTATATTATGTTTCCATATGTATTATTAATAATATACATATGTATATTAGAATATATATGACTTACAATGGCGTTCAAAAGCTCCCAGCCAGATTGTTTCTGGAGCTTTTCTTACACAATAAAAACTTTAAGAACTTCTTGTTATTATGGCATATAAAAGACATATTCCATGAGAAGATACTGTAAAAAAATCAACACCATCTATTCTTTATACATATTTGTTTAGAAATAAGTAATAATAATAAACTTTCGAGCACGCCAAATTAAATACTCTTTATATACACAATTATGAAAACAAAATAGTACGGTTTCTTTTGTAGTATTCGTCCATGTAAATATGTCCTTATTTATTATATCAACAAAAATTCCTTTAAACTCATCCTATCGAAGAAAAATTCCAAAAACAATCTGGCTGGGAATTTTCGAATGCCACTGTATATTAATTATATATTAAATATATAATATGTATATAATAGGCTTATTCAATAGATGGATCTATAATAGATAGACTCATTCAAATGAGAAATATTGTTTAACGTACAAGAATCGTCGGGAAATGAAATTTTATTGTATAATTTTATAGCTAGTTCTGGTAGAACATATCTAATATTATTGTGTTAGGACAAAACACATTCCCGCGAACAGCAAGTTAGCAAGCTATCTAATTCGTTTCGACACAAGTTGTTAACAAAAATGAATTAGCTCACCAGGTGGTTAGGCAATTTCTCGGCAGACCATATGATTTAATTGCTCGCTACCGCAGGTGACAAATTATTAGAGCTAATACAGTATAATACGAGACACTTATACGAGCGAATTGTTATTGCTTTAAATTATTAGACGTATCAGCGAGCAATTCGCAACTCTTCATACAATGGTTTTCTATTTTATACCGTGTACACATAGAGTCATTTGAAATGTTCTGTCATAGCAATATTCATAAGAGTAAGCAACGAGTATTTATTCCATGCTGTGGAAATTAAGTCACTTCATTTTTAAAAGCAATTTATAGTTTATTCATAATAAAATCCTTCGACTTTTAACGTTTAAATAATTCAACATTAGAAAAAGAAAATTCCTAATAGTATCAGTAATAATAAAAAAAAGGATTTGTATTTAATTAAATAAGAAAATGAATTCCCAAACATAATAATAAATATGTCTCCACGAATCAATTATTTTCAAATTATAAGATACCTTGTTTAATAGATTATCGCCTACTTTCTTCAACCTACTTTCTTTTAAAGATAAATTCTTAAAATGTTCACCCATTATATCAACATACATATTATTACAATTATAATTATCCCTTCCAATGAAAAATTCGCATTTATTATTACAATTAAGAAATACATTCATCATCTTCGTCAATGAAAGCCAAATATTCCTCATACTTATCGTTATATTTTACCTTTAAGCTTCCACCACGTAATAAACTTTTTATTACATTTACTCCATGGAAAATATATTTTTCAATAAATGAAACAGCAAAGTAAATAAAAAAACGGCAAACAAAATACATAGAATGTTAATCGTAGAATTCGATAAGGAAAGATGCGAGGAACGCGGTGTACATATAATTTCCTCTCGAAACATATTTTATCCCCGGTATTATCGTGATTGCGTCCCGACTTAGCTCAGCGGTAGCGAGAGAATGAAAAGTCAGCCAGTAAAATCCTCCTTCTGACGGATTCAATTACAGGTCAGCCCGAATCTGAAGCGATTCGCCGTCTCACCGGTGAACGCGATCGACTTAGCAGCGACGTTGAGCTTCTACACGGAGTTCCTAACGGAGTCTAGCTTGTATCTGGAAGTCCTGTCGATAGCCCGAGTCCTGCGGCTCTTTAAGCTGACGAGGCATTCTCCGGAGCTTAGGATCTTGATTCATACCTTCAAGGCGTCTGCTAAAGAACTAGCCTTGCTGGTCTTCTTCCTCGTACTGGGCATCGTTGTTTTTGCCAGCCTTATTTTTTACGCGGAACGCCTTCAGGCAAGTTCCTATTGAACGATATTTGACACTTTTACAAATGAATTGTACACAATTGTGTCAAATATGTATCTATATTTCCAATTGCTTTTAGTATTATTTTATTATCAGTTATTTATTTTATCTTCCGGCTTACTATCTATTTACATTCACTTAACACTAAGACTACCGAGCAGTTAGATCGACTTTTTGAAATTCCTTTATAAACACTCGAAGATTGCATCTAGTCAGAGTCTAGTTGATTTACTATTAATCTTGCGCATTGCCGAATCAATTTCTTTAATAATTGCTCGGAGAAACATCTGTTATCTTTTGTATAATTGCAAGAAGAGGATATCAGGAATGGGTCATTTTGGCCTGTCTGGTAGTTTTAGCGTTAACTTACTTATATACGCTTAATTTTGTTTGACTTCTAACTGTCTTTGGTTTTTCTTCTCACTCTTTTCGGTTCTCCAGTCTTTTCCTCTCTGTCTCCTTCAACATTGCTATATTTTTTACGATAATATCTTACAGTTGAGCTTCTTTTGATTAATTTATGAGGACATTGTATGCCATTGATTGTGTGATTATGAAATATAAAAAGTAAAATATAAAATGCCTATATTTTACTAAAATTATCATTAACTCGTTTTTCTAAAAAAAAAATTGGATTTATAACACTTATAAAAAGGTGGTATAACGACTTATATTGTTCTTAACCGCAGGATAATCCAACGAATGACTTCGACAGCATACCACACAGCCTTTGGTGGGCTTTGGTGACCATGACAACGGTTGGTTATGGTGATATGACACCAAAAACTTTCCCCGGAATGTTTATCGGAGGGATGTGCGCGATTGCTGGGGTGCTGGCGATTGCCCTTCCGGTTCCTGTTATCGTCAGTAACTTCTCCATGTTTTATTCGCATACACAGGTTTGTGCCCTACAGTAAAATTTTTCGTTGTTGCTCGTATATACATCTTGAAATGTAATATTAAGAAATTCAAAATGTTCAGAATGATGAAAAAATAGATATTAGCTATGATATTTCAAATCTCAACTGGTAAAAGTAAAATTATATTATCTGTAGAAATAAGATATGTAAAAGATTTGGGATTTAAAATTATTTTATTTTCCAAGTATTTAAATTACAAATACGCTTTATCGAGAAATGATCAAATAAATAAATATATTATTCTAGTTTTTATGGAACACTATAAATAAATCATTCCAATTCCTCAGTAGTTGTAATGTTAAGTGAGTCGCATTGCATAATAAAAAGCATTAACACGCGACCGTGCTAGAAAAAGTTCCCGTGAACGTCAGAATTTTCTTTTTCATCGGATCACGTTGCATCGACTGACCGAGATTGTACACAATGAGCGTGCGTCCACCGAGGACACGGAGGAAGCGGAAGTTCATTCAGGAGCAGCATGTAAACTTTCCGCGCCCCAGCCGCCAATTTGAAACTTTCCAGGACAAGAACTTACCTTCCCTTCAATTTTTTATAACGTTGTCTAAGGCGCGTGAATCACGTTATTCGAAACTGGCTTGGTCATGGTATCCAATTAATCGACGGTAGACCGTTCCCATTGTTTCCGCGGGATTATTAACGTGAATCGGAAGCCTCGACCCGGAAACACTTGCGGCGTGCTACGGCAGGCTAAAGTGGTACTAAAATTCCCGTTGATAACAGGTTTCGTATTGAAACTCATTATTTGCTTATCAATTAACTGACCATTGCATCACACAATTGTCGACAAAAGGTATTAGAAAATATTGGCAGCATTTCCATTTAATTTCAAGGATTTTTACGACTTGTCCAATAATTTCTGCTTATTTGTGTCTAAGAATAAAGGAACTGCGTCTCGTATTTCCTTTAATTCCTCAGGAATCATTGCTTAACTGAATTATAGACCGAAATTTTGTTTATGCCTATGAAAAAATGTCTGTATTAAGACGGATATAAAGATTTCAGTTAATTAATTACTTAATTTTGTTCGCTACTTTGCTATGCGAAATGAAATGAATCAACGAATTGACAGTATATTGCTGTTACTTCAAAGAATTTTTTACTTACTTAATTTTATATTACATGAAAAGATAGTTGTAAAGTAGTTAGGGACTTCTTGCCCCTGTGTGTGGAGCAAAAGGGCCATTTTGAGTTGACAAACGTTTTATACTGTAACTTAGTAATCAATAAGATGATCAATAAAAAAAAACAGTATAAAAGTGAAGCACGATAGTTACGGTTTACGAAAAATAAAAAAGCCATTTCTAAGTTGTTATTACTAAATTTTACAATCATTTCTGTGAAAAACGGGATTTTCATCCCCACCCTACGCCACCTACTCGTAAGTTTAAGACAGTTCAGAAATTCCTTTGCGAGAGCGCGGCCACGGAAATTCTTTGGAAAACACCGTGAAAATTAAACGCGGAAGTTGTATTTTCCTTCTGGTTTTACTTGACCTTTGGAGATTATATTCCCGGCATCGGAGCGGTGGAAATTCATAAAACGAAAATAAATACAGGACTACGTTTGTACAAAAATATGCTGATCTTTGCGTTGCGAAAGTTTTTCATTTTACACGTGCGGCCGCGTGCCAATACATTAGATTGATGAGAAACTAAAGATTATGAGAAATAAAACGAAGAGTTCTTAATTGTTCGCTGGCTAAACCAAAACTGAGTAAAAACGAAGAAAGAAGTATATAAAGATACACGTTATAATAATTTGAAAAAACAAATGTTACTTGTTTCGAAAAAGTTTTGCTAACTACGTACAAAAATGTCAACATTTTTGTATCAACCCAATATTTTTCAATCCTCGTATAATTTACGTATTTCTTGAGAAATGGAACATTTGATTGATTGTTATGTATTAATGATAGTATCATCTAGGATTAACGTGCATTTTGTGGTACAGATTATAGAAATCACGAGGAAGAGCGTTTAGTGGTTTCGAAATTAACATTGAAACTGTAATTATTTAAGTTATATATTCGTTGATTAATATTGGAGAAAGTAAATAATAAGAAATTGTTTTTTATACTTTTGTAATATTACGTAGTGTTTGGTTTATAAATTTTGGAATAAGTAATATTACTGATCGTGTTCCTGTTTAGATAGTGAATTCTTCGAACATCTTTTCAATGTAACTGGTGCCAACTTTAACTTTATTTCTATAGTTCTATGTATTCTTCTTTTGTACACTTTATATCTTGTATCCTACAGGATAGTTTACGAACAATACTACCCCTAGCTGTGTTCGTCCGATTTATGTTACCTAAAATACGGCGGTCCACGGAAACGTTTAAAGGGAGAAAACACTTTATCGCACACTTTCTCCGTGATCATCTTTACCTGCTGCCATTAACAGTATTTTGTAAAATGAAAACAATATTTTTTTATCCTACAATAATAGGCGAGAATGAAGTAAATATAAACAATGGTAGTAGAATCATTTGTAATATACTACTTTTCCAATAACAGGTGGAAACTGATTTTGATCATTTTAGTTTATTACGGAAAAAACAAGAATTCAATGAAACAAAGTTATACCGTATTTCATTCAATTTTATAGCTTCTATTGTAATATAAGCATTGTGATAATTAGAAGATTATAATATGCAATGAACTATAATTATAAAGGTTCTATCATCAACTATCATCCTATTATAAAGCAAACTATATTTCACTTTCTAAAATATATTTTCATTGGCAATATCAAATAATACAATTGCGCACTATTGCACGTGTGTAATATCCATTATTCTATTGATAAACAAAGAGCCATTTTGAATCAACTTAATTGCAGCAATATTGTGTCACTACTTTATGAAACTAATAATAGAAACAAAATGTTGGACATTACTTTTATCTGCTAATTCAAAGCAAAAATTTGTGTAAATTCTGAAGCCAGAATATTTTTTGTTTTATTCTCAGAATTTTTCCACTGAACTTCTGGTAATTTACTAAACGCTAATATCCAACATTAAGGAGATTGCCGCTATATGACATTAAATTTTATATATTTTTAAGAGGCACTTCATTAAATTTGATTTTAATTATCGATAGGCTCGAAGCAAATTGCCGAAGCAAAGGCGAAGAGTACTCCCAGCACAATTGCCAAGACGACCAGGAGCCTCTATTTATCAGATGCAAAATAATAATCAGCATCAGCTTGCTCCTAATCACTCAAACAGGCCGCTAACACCAAGGACAGCGACTATAGCATTAGAGAGCGTACTTCACTTACAGGTATCAGTTTGTTTAAAACGTTATTTAATTCTGCTACAATCTTCATCTTGAAGGTGTATTTCAACAGTATAGTTAGTATATATTATATATTATAATATATAGTATATAGTATTATTTATATTGTAGTAAACAATATATATTATAGTATACATTATATAGTATATATGTCAATATAGTCAATAATATTTCTATACATCTGAAATATTATTTATAAATTCGAATCACATACAGTAATAATACTTTTATTCTACATTCTTAAGAAATGTGAGATTTAGATTCAAAATTGTTTTTCAAAAGGTAATACACAATTAAACCATTGAGTAATAGATTAAAGAAATGTAGCAATGTTAAAACGATGAAAATGTGATTAGGTTAAAACAAATATTGAAAAATCTACAGGATCTAATTTTTATATTTCATAGATGTAGATTTTATATATTTTATAATAATACATTAAACCTTTGTCCTCTGATTTCTTCCGCAACTGTGGCCGTTGAAACTATTTTATCGTTAATAATTTGCTAGAAAAAAGAAGAATTTTATGTTTGTCTTATATTTACATGTTTCTCAATTGATAATAGAAGAATAACATTTAATTTCAATTCATATCAATATTACAGTGTTTTTAATAATATTAATTATTATTAATTGCTTATACTAGTAATCGCAATATTGATACGACAAAAGTTTACGAGGCAAAAGATTAATTGTGGAGATAGAAATGATCGAACCATGATTCTTTTTATGTTCCTAATGTAGCCTAACATCGTGCTAAATTTGGAAAGGGACACAGTTGTTTCGGGAACCATGAATTCAGACAGGAGGGATTCTGTTCGCCTTGTAGCTAGCAATCCTGTGAAAAATGGGAAAGCGATTGATGGGGCGGTCGATGATACGTTCCAGGAGGGCGAAAACAAAAACGATGATCCGCACGTAGGAAGTTGTTGAACCCCTTCCTCCAGCTCATGTTATCAGGCCAGATAATGCGAAACCGGCGAAGATTATATGCTTAGAATAATCGTCGAACTGATATTTAATATTTACAACGCAATTTTGTAACAGATCTAATAAAGATGATATAAAATTACAACTAGTAATGAATTGTATGTATGTTAACAAGTAATCATTATAGAATTAAAAATCTTCATAAATAAACAGTAATTCTGTGTAGATTTATAAGAGATTTATAAAATAAAGAAAAATTTCTTCTTTTTCAATTATAGGTCAAAGTAGGAGAATCTAGAACAGAAACAAAATATTCAATGTTCATTTTCTGTTTGTGGCATTTTCTTATATCAAAGTTGGATAATTAAAATTATTTGTTAATAATTAATTATTATCCGTTAATAAATAGACAGTACGTTTATAATGTCGTACATGAAATTTAAGGAAAAGATACATTCAAAATTTAAAGTTTCAATGTGTACGTTATCCAAACATATGACTCTGTTTATTAATTCTGTACGCGATTGAATCTCAAAACCACTTAATTTGAAAAGCAAATTTCTACGCTCTGCATTTCACGAAATATTCCAAAAACATATTTCCAATCCTCAAATTTGAGGGCTGTTTCCACTCCTCCAACATGA